ATTAGAGACTTTATTATGATCATGACACTTTGGTCTCTCGTTAAAATTAATGACGCTTACATAAAATGTTTACCAAACACTCAACTACTCATAAAGAAGCTTCACCATTACTTACCTAGCGACAACTCAAATCATCTTCTAGATGTAAGTTTTGGACTTTTGGCTAACCTCTAAAGTCCCTAAAGAAACCAAAACAAACTAACCCTGACCCAGTACCAAGGAAATGGGAAGAAGTTAAAAAATTGCCATAAGAAGTATCAAAGCATAATCAGCATAATTGACCTCCCAATTGTACCAACTACTTTGGCAGTAATTCCCACATATATAAAAATTTACAAACAAGTTCTAACTGCTATTTTGAACAATAAGCAACAAACAAATGATAATGGTGACGCCACCTGAATATGTTGTTCACCTTTCACCAGCATACATACCAACCACCATTACAAACAAACACATATAATGGTTAAAATAGTTAAAAATAAAAATAAAAATCAAATCCAACTACAAGAACAAAAAGGTCGACACACTTTAGAAAGCATAAAAAAACGAATAAAATAAGTTAGCATAAAAATAGAAGTAGTAACTATGAGAGCGGTATAAACAATCCTGATTGCCTTTAAAATCACACAATCAAACATCATAGTGGTGTAAAGAAAAGCAAAAAATATAAAAACGACCAATATTTGTTATCGATTTGTAAGAGAGATAAAAAAAGTAATTTTTAACAAAAACAAGGCATCGTCGGGCAGAACGAGAAAAAGGGTATGGTGAAAGCGATGAAAAACTACGAATCGGGTAAGAAAAAAAAAACTTTTTTAGTGAAAAGAAGAGGAGAGGAGAACGCACTTGAAAGAGGGGATGGAGTTGAGGAAGAGATCAATCCAAGAGATTTCGGTGGGAGTGGGCTTGCGGGGGTTATCGGAGGGGAATCTGTAGGGAATGGTGCATGCTCTGTAGTGGGAATCGATTGGTGTCAACAACAATGGAAATTCCACAAGCTCTGACGCGCTTTCCATTTTTCACAGCAAGAAGGAATGAATGTGATTGCAAAATCAATAAATAGTGATAAGATCCGAGTTGCGTTGTGAGTTCAATTCGGCAACAGGAATTGCAGTGAGAGAGACAGAGACAGAGAGAGAGATGAGAGAGAAAGCGTGACGGAGTGGCGCTTCTCTCCTCACTTTCACTTCCCACACGAGTTGAAACTCTCAGCTTCTTTTCCTTTTCTGCTAAAAAAAATCAATTTTAAAATAACAAATGATTTTTCTTCACTAAATAATACCTCTTAATAAGTAAACAATAATCGGTTTTAGTTTTTCATGGATTTATTCTAGCTTTGTAAAATAATTAAAAGCTACAAAAATATTTAAATCTAATTATAATATTATATATCAATCTCAAACTGCTGATATTTGATTTGAAATTCTGTCATCCCTTGCCTCAAACTGGGAAGTTTTCGTTGTCCACACATATCATGAAGACGACTCATGAGGTCCCTTACTAAATTAGGAGCAGCCACCTAAGTTATAAGTTTCTTTCTTGTACTTTCTTTTGCATTATATATATATATATATATATATATATATATATGAGAAATCAGGACCACCTAATATATATGAGAGCACGTTACATCATTAATCAAATTTGTTACATCTTAGTCTTATGAAAAAGAGAGTTGTAAAATTTTTTGTTAACATTTTTAATGAATTATAAAATATTTTAGTTAGCCTTTAGATGACACGTGTTACAATTAAAAGGTAAATGTTAAGAATTTCCAACTTGAAAGCATGAAGTATTTAGGGTCTAAAACTTTGGTATAAATGTTTTTCAGATAACAAGAAAAATGAATGGAAATGAACCTTAGTAGATCATGCTGAGTCTTGTGTTTCACAATATAAAAGTTAAGGTGTCTTGAAAGGGATTTGCATAATTTAAAAAAAAAAAAAAGTTATCCATTAAATTTCACAAGTAACATATATCATTGTTTTATATTTCACTTCACAAGAATTTCTTGATACTATGTTTTATTTCTTAGACTTCCATTATATTAAGGAAGACTTAAAATACACATTATAGCTTATGATTGATTTGGACATGAAGCTCAATCACTACCACTATATGCCTTTAATTGAAAAGGACTATTCTAGGAAAACAATAAACCAAGACAAGAAACATTCTTAACAAATCGTATAATTCTCAAAATTGTATGACAATGAGTAAAAGATGGTGTAGAAATAAATTGTACCAAGTGATGGACAAAGAATAATGTAATATCTAGTCTTGCTTCAACCAATAATTCTAATGCATATTTCTTTAGAAAGAATTCTCGTTTCAGTTTATTCATTTGTCCATTCATAAAAGATTCATTCTCAAGATGAGATAGTTCTTTTCTTTTAGCAACATCACTTCACAATTTTAAATTTTAACTGACTCAAAATTCAACTTCAACATATTAATGATTGAATTGATTTTCAACTATTTTCATTTGTATTTCTCACCATGCCTACTAGTGACTTTTCCTGTATCAATGAAACATTTATTTATTGTAAGTTAATTTTATCAACTTTAAATTAACTATAGAAAACAAATGGATTTATTCTTTTGAATGTAACTAGTTATTTTTCACTTTATCTTGACGTCCTACTGTAAAACAAATATATTTTGTTTTATTATATTCTACAGTATTATCAAAAAAGTTATTGTTACTTCTGTCTTTATCTTCATTTATTTTTACTTTTTCCTTGTAGAAACATTTTGCAACTATATTTTTTGGTTTTTTGGTTTGTTTGAGTGAATTTGAGGGGGTGGATTTGAGGGGGTGGATTTGAGGGGATTTGAGAGGATTTGAAGATAATTTTTTTTTGTCGTTTTTTTGAGCGAATTTGGAGGTAAATGAGAGTGAATTTGAAAATAATTTTTTTTAATTTGTCACGTCAATACAATTTTATACTAATTCTCACAAATTTTATTTTCAAATTCACTCTCATTTACCTCCAAATTCGTTCAAAAAAACGACAAAAAAATTATCTTCAAATCCCCTCAAATCAATTCCCTCAAATCCACTCAAAAGAAAGGAATGGATTGGATTCTTAATAAAAATTGTGCTTTAATTTTTTTTTCCCTTTTTAATATCTGACTTAGCAATAAAATTGATTCCTTTAAGATAATCGCAGATAAATAAAGAGAATATGAAAAAAGAAATTTGTAGAATAAATTTTATATTGATTCAGATCAAACTGTTCAAATCAAAATACCAATGTCCCGTTGATTATATTTCTAAAGAGGGATTAACTCAAATATTAAAAATAAACCAAACTTTCAATCACAAAAGAAAAAAGAATTGAATGTTTAGAAAACACTTCTCTTAAAGTCACAAGAGATGAAAGATATCTTCTTTAAAATCTACAGAGAATGAACACCTCATTTTTATCGCTCTACTCATAAAGCTTTCAAAAATTTTCCACACAGAGTTATAACCCAACTAATGTATCTAAAAACATAAAGTTTTACCCATTTTATAGAATAAAACTTGTTTTGGAAAAACACTCATTTTGAAATTAGGTTAAAATATGAAAAACTAAGTTACAATTATTGCTAATAATTGATTATTTATTGCAAGCAATAATAGATTATTGCCACATTGCTTTCCAAACTATGTTTCAATGCATACTTTGGTTTCATCAATAATCAATTATAGTAAAATGATAATTGATTATCATAAATGATAATCAATATAATAATTGATTATTGTTGCATTTGCTTTTCAAAAAATGTTTTACTATAGATTTTATTTTATCAATAATTGATTATAGTAGAATGATAATCGATTGTCATAAATGATAATCGATTATTGATGTGAAGTTTAGAAAATTAGCTTTATGATGAAATACTTAATTTTGACTAATGTAACTCTTAGATCTAAGCATTCAATCTTCAAAGTAACTCTTAGATCTAAGCATTCAATCTTCAAAGTAACTCTTGAATCTAATTTTCTTTAACTCTAGACCATTTTACCATAAATCATTACTATAATTAAAACTTCAACTTTTCTTCATTTATTATCATTATCAAAACTTTATTTGTCTTTAAGATTGAGAATAAGATATTTATCTTCTTCTCTTTTTTTTTCTTAACATGGTTTAAGTAATGTCATGTTATATCAATGTTTGCAACATAGTGCAATTTTTTCCTCAACATTAAGTGTAAAATAACACATAAGAAAAATTCAACTAATTGATATTTAATTTTGCTTACTTCAAATATTTTTTAGACGTGTTTTGTTTTATTGGATATCAATCCAAATAAATATTTCTAATATTTTTAGAAAGTTTATTATTTATATTTTTATGGACATAATAACTTTTTAAACCTATATATTATTTTAAGATTGATTTTATTTAAAATTTAATTATAAACTTAAAAATATTTTTTTTAATTCTTTTTTAATTCTTTTTTAATAAACACACAAACCTACATCAACACATACTTATGTACGGGTTTAAAACTAATTTACTCTAAAAGAAATACCAACGCCAACAAAAGAGTTGGTTTTGAAAGAAAAAAAGTTTATTATATACATGTAGATGCATTTTTTCATTCACAACTTTTTTTTTGTATTGTTGGTAACTAAATATTTTCATCTGTCATTGGTTAGTATAACGATTATAGGAATCAAAATTACGTTTCATTGATATAGAAAATGAAAATTTTTATTTATGTAACTTAAAAATATAGAAATTATAGGTCTATCAAAATCAAAATACACAGTCAATTTAAACCAAACCTATTTTATTTTGCATATATTTTTAATTATCACATTCCTCAAATAATTAAACTAGAACACAAATAGTGTTGACAAAATGGCCGGTTCCAAATAAGTTGAAGATATTGCATAAGGCGTTAAAATTTAACGATGCTAATTCTAATTGATGAGATGGTAAAGCTGAACGACACGATCGAGATGAGAGTGATTTGAGGATTGGGAGTTTGCAACACAATGAATGTAGAAACTATAAAGTTCACCCAAAATTTGTAGTAATAGCTGATAATTGGCTATAAGAAGCCAGGCCAAAAGAGACACATATACTGCTACGCTATTTTGTCGCCAAAAAGAACTCAACTCTCAGACATGTTTAAGTTTTTGAAGAAAAAAAAAGTACATGTGAAGCCCCCTGCAGTGAATAGAATCTTATTTAAATGCTGCTGGTGTTCATATGCTAAATAATCAGTAGGGTTCCACCGGGGCTCTGAATTTGGAACCAGCATAAACAGCACCTGAACCAAGCTCCTCCTCAATCCTCAGAAGCTGCAACACACACCAAAGAACGAGTCAAACACTTCAACTTAATATACCAGGTAAGCTCTCTACATCCATTTTATATTAACGAGGGAGAGAGCATAAAATTAATAAATCATGATAAGTTCACAAAAAGCAAAATAAGATTCTTGTATTGGAGATGGCGTAAGGTATTGTAATTACTATATTTAGGCCATGTAATGTAACAAAAAAGACTTTAATAAGGTTTGTAGTTTTTACCTGATTGTACTTGGCAAGCCTTTCAGATCGGCAGGGAGCTCCAGTCTTGATCTGGCCCTGTTTGATATTGACGCAGCATGATTAAATTATATCAGCGTATACTAAATACTCATATTTCAAAATTCAGACACAATTTGTCCGCAAAGGTTCACTACTAAAACAATAAAGAACCATGACAAACTATTCTAAAAAAGCTTCTCACTACTTACAGTTGCTAACCCAACTGCGAGGTCTGCAATGAAGGTATCCTCAGTTTCACCACTACATACAGCATACAAATACAACACATTAGTTTGCACTTAGAAAGAGTGATACAATGTAAAAAAAAAAAAAATGCATACAAGGGGGAAAATGAGCATTCTTTACCTCCGGTGGCTAGTCATGACACCCCAGCCAGCTTTCTTAGACATTCTCACAGCTTCAATACTTTCTGTTACACTACCAATTTGATTCACCTAAAATTGTAAGTACAAAAATGAAAATTTCTTCTTAAAGTGGATAAACAAATTTTCAGACTAGATAGATATTTAAATAATACGGTAATCTAAAATTCTGATCCTCTAGCAGATGAAAAAAAAAAGCCTTAATTTTACCTTCAACAGAAGGGCGTTGCAAGCCTTCTCCTTAATTGCTTTCTCCACACGCTACATTGTTAATAACAAAGACAATAATGTCAAAATGATCCTTGTTTGCAGTACATAGATCAATTTGGAGTTAATAAAGCATACCTTCGGGTTGGTGACGAGGAGATCATCACCAACAATCTGCACTTGCTGACCAATTTCACCGGTTAATTTTGTATAGGTCTCCCAGTCATCCTGATCAAATGGATCCTCAATAGACACAATAGGTTAATCTGTCACAAATGATTTGTACACATTCTTTAAGCTGTCTCCTGAGATTTTCTGCGATCCATCATTATTCTGCAACAAGGTAGTAGTATGTTATCTAGCTATAAAGCATTTGACAACCTCCTCCTTAATGGCGGGAAAATGAAAATTTAAGAAAAACTGGGAAAAGGTTCGTAAGATATCAACCTCTTCCTTAAAATTCAAGTCATATGTTTTGTCCTTGTTATTGTAAAATTCTGAAGCAGCAACATCCATACCAATTACAACCTGTGAGGATAGAAATTAGTCAGCCATATGTTAAGGTGCTAAATTATATTCAGTAGACAGAGATTCAACCTTTCCAGTGTAACCAGCTTGGGAAATGGCAGTCTTCAGAAGCTCAAGCCCTTCTTTGTTTTCCTAAAATTGTTTGAACTAGAAGATAAGAATAACTAAAATCGTGTAACAGAAAAAATATAGTTGTTCACACATCTTAGGAATGTTATATAAAAAACATAAATCAAGCAGCTATATGCAAGCAGCTATATGCAAGCAAGAAAATGATATATTACTTTTAAATAATTACAAGATCAATAAAACTAAAACTAGCCGGTTAAGACCTGGATGTTAGGAGCAAAGCCACCTTCATCACCCACGTTAGTAGCATCCTGTCCGTACTTCTTTTTAATCACAGCCTGTAAGATAAACGCGTGAACATCTTAATTCATTATCACTAATAAGAATGTTAATTCTTTCATCCATTTTGTGTTTCTGTTTTTCCTTTTGTGAAAAAAAGAAGTTAGGAATAAAGGACTGTAACCTTTAGATGATGGTATACTTCTACGCCCATTTTCATTGCTTCTTTGAACGAAGATGCCCCAACTGGGAGAATCATAAATTCCTATAAAAGAGGTCACAGGGTACGTATATCAATCAGAAATTGTCCCTGTTCAACTATTGCATTAAATAGACATTACCTGCATTGCTAGTTTATTTCCTGCATGTGAGCCTCCATTGATAACATTGAATGCAGGAACAGGCAACACCAAAGTCTTGTTTCCAGCCAGATTGGCAATGTGCTGAAAAATTAAAACAATAGAAAAGCACATATCATAAGAACACAAGATTAACAGATAAGAGCTATTATTACCGCAAAACCTCAAATACCTTGTACAGAGGAATTTTATTCACTTCAGCACCAGCCTTACAGACAGCAAGTGACACTGCCAGAATAGCATTGGCACCCAGCTGAAAATGTCAACATATTGCAAAACTAATTAGCATAAAATGAACGCCCAATACAGCTATATAAGATGCAGTCACCGAATTGAATAATTCAAACGAAATCATGTAGCGATACCTTCTGCTTGCACCACCCCCACTCGTTAACAGTTCCATCAAGCTGCTGTACCATGTAATTGTCAAGTTCAGTCTGCTTGGTTGGGTCCTGTAAAGACAAAAAATAAATAACAAATGAAAATTTCCACCATTAATATGTTCCTAACAGTGTTCCACAAGTCCAATTTTACAGCTGCATAATACCTTCCCAAGCAGCGCAGGTGCTATAATTTTATTCACATTCTCCACAGCCTACGCAAGGCAAATATGAGGTCTTATTATCAGATCCAACACATCATAAACGACAAAAAAAATAAAGTCAAAAAGTTATTGATTATCATTTTTCCACTCTTTTTGTCAAACGACCATGTAAATACATAAAAATGAAATAACAGAATATCAAACGTCAAGCACCTTGCTAACACCTTTACCGAGGTAGTCCGAGCCTCCATCCCTCAATTCCAGAGCCTCATAAACACCTTCAAAGAAAGCAAAATGAGTAAGGCACACCACTTTCAGAACTACCAACCCATGCCGCAACCATATGAAACGAACCTTGAAACAGATAAACAAGAATATAACATTCAAAACCTTCGCATTCGACTTCTACCAACTACCACACTACAAACTCCACAACCCCTGGTCGGTACGATAATGACGCTTCAAACAGAACAAGACAAACAATATCTCACAAGAACAGTGAACAAACAAACACATTTCCTTCTATTGAACAAACACCGATCATTTACCTGTTGAAGCACCGCTAGGCACGGCAGCTCTGGCGAAGGTTCCATCGCTGAGTGTAACGTCAACCTGACAACAACAAACCGCATTCAGAATCCATAAATCATAGCTTCGGATAAACCAGTCTCGTAACAAAAATAGAAACAAATCATCTACTAACACCGAAATAGAACGTGGATCATATTCCCGCACATTTTCTCAACGTCCAAACAGTAACAAACCGCTTTCATGATATAGAAATCAAAGCTTCGCTTAAACCATCCCCGTAAAAATACAGAATGCAAGTGATGTAACGAATCAACGTTCTCTATGTAAAACCGGAAATGGAACGTAAATTCATTTTCTCTCCTTTTCCCCGCACATTTTCTCTCATTTTCCCGCACATTTTCTCAGCTTCTAATAAAAAACGACAAAAGCAAATGGCGAGAGAGAGACAGCAAAGAGAAACTCACTTCGACGGTGGGATTTCCACGGCTGTCAAAGATCTGGCGAGCCTTAACGACCTTGATTGTTGCCATCGCTGTGTTACTCTTTCACAGTTTTGATTTTTCCGAGCGTCGCTCTGATTTTCCAAGAAAGTGACGATACAGTCCGAATGCACGAGTGCGATTGGTTCATTTATAAATGGCGTTGGTACGTGGCTACTGTGGAAAGACGTTGAATATAGACCGTTGATCTTGGGAAAAAGAAGAGTGACGTGTAGGGCTGAGATGGTTTGTGTGGGGCATCACGAGAGTCTTGCTTCGATGCGAGTGGGTCCCCGAAGCACGCAGATAGGAATATGCCAAGTGCTTCAGCTCCCTTTCTAGATGCCGAGGTTCTCGAAAACGTTGAATCGGTGAAAAGCAAAACTACCTTTGAAAATTTTTAACTTTACTTTTCAATAATATTTTAACATGATTCATAAAAATTTTAAAATTTAATGTAAGAACTTATTTTAGTAATGAGAAGATAACCCTTTTTTATTAGTTACTTTAACTAAATTCTCGTGATTAAAAAAATAAAGCCTGTTAAAATAGAAGTTACTTTGTCTAACTTATATTAATTTAATTTAACTGTTATAAGTGCTCTTTTGTATGAATATTGTTTTT